TTTTTTTTTTTTTTTTTTTTTTTTTTTTTTTTTTTTTTTTTTTTTTTTTTACTTAACGTTAACAAAAGGTGTGTTAATTGTCAATTTCGTTGATTGAGTAGAAATTAAGTTTAACTTAAAAAGGTATAATATCGTAACAACTTGATTATTATTTACAATTTACGTACACTTTGTGGGTTTAATGATTATAAAATACTCTAATTCAGACAAATGATTCCGAAAGAGATAAATAAACAACTATTTTAAATGTATTTTATATCATACGCGCCATTCTAGGTTGAAGTACATTTTTTTTCTTTTCTTAAGCAATTTTTAATGAAACTTTCATTATGTCCGTGTATTTTAACAATGAATATCAATAAACAATTTTTAATATTGATTTAAAAGCCAATACTTTATGAGAAAATCACGGAGAATTGAAATATATTATTATTATTATTATTATTATTATTATGATATCACCATGCTTTCTGCTGTTATTTTCATAATTTAAAATTATTGTCATTGTTATTGAAAAATTTGATCCCTTCAATTATCCACTCAATTAATTATTAAATTGCTACATTAATCCAACAATTGACAAGAACATGTAGAATTTTTTAATATTCTCGACCGAGAGAAATAAAAAATGAACTGTACCATTGATTCAACATGATCAACAGAGATCTACTGTGTCTCTGGAAGTTGTGTACTGTGTAGAAAGAAAAGAAATAATGCTGGAGCATGTATGGAGATGACTATAGGTATCGAAAGAACATGCGGGGGTAAAAATAGATTTCAATTTGAGACCAGACATGGCGGAAGCTTTGTTCTCGAAGCTGGAAGAAAAAAAAAACAAAAAAAAAAAAAAAAAAAAAACGATGCGTTTGAGGAAGCTTGATGTCGTTTCGTACAGGTCGGTGCCCTGAGCTTCGAGCTTTCGGTTATCTGCGCCTACATATATAACGCAGTACACACGTGTATTTGAGCCCGAAAAGATACATATATATGCACGCGACGAGGAATGCGCACAGTGTATAGCATATTCTGAGGGCAACTTCAGCGCACTCCTAACTTTCGCAAATGTGATTTTCTAACTTGACATCTATTTTATTTTTCGGTGACTTTTGTCGAGTGTTGTATCTCTGATTTTCTGTTCGTTGCTTCTTTGAATTTTTTTAAGTACCTAATAAACGGCCATATGGATTTTTTTTTTTTTTTGGTAATTGATGAAAGAAACATCCATAATTTAGAGAAATTTTTTAAGAGGGTCTCGAGTTCCGCATGTAGGTGCAAAAATAAATCGGAAAGCCTTTTTTTTTAATTAATTTAAAAATTAAAGTAAAATAAGCTCTGAGTATCAATTTCACAGTCTACCAAAACGTAGAATCTTATGAATGTAAAAAAAAAAAAAAAGAAGTTAATCTAATGCCATTGAAGAAGGAAATTTGTTTATCATCCAAAGGCAATTTTAATTGACACCAATATATTGTACGTATATTTTTTGTAAATTCAAAAAAGTGTTTAAAACCTTAAGAATTACAGTGCGTTTGACATTCAATTGGCAAAATTTGAAAACTTTGTAGATTTGAATACGATGTTTAATATTGTCCGAAATACTTAATTGAAATAAAAAAAAATACTGTTACGAAACAAACGTTTTAATTGTTCGATGAATACTTTTATTCACAAAGACATGGCTGTATAAAATTTGGATTCAGGGTAAAATATTAATGTTGTTGTAATGTCAGTAGATAAAATACATGAAAAATATGACAAGAATTGCGTAGATTCTTTCTATATTTATATTGTTTTGAGTAAAAACATAAAAAACAAAAAAAAAAAAACAAAAAAAACTCGACACTACAATGTCATTTACATTTATTAGACTTATGGATGTAGTGATACAGATCGAGTGTGCTTTCATAGTTAAACTAAGAAATTACACTTTGTATTAATTATTTGATTTTTTTGTTATCTTCACTAGTTGTGAACGTTAGTAATCATTGTTTATAATGACTTAAAAATGACAATCAAGATGGATTTATTTCTAGGTGATGCTATATATTATTGAGTAATTTATTTCTAATTTTCTTTTTTTTTTCTGTAAATTCTAGGGTACAAAACATCAATAAAAATACTTGCACGATAGTAACACCATTTGAAATACATGAAATCACTCACCGTTTTCCGCAATCACAATATTTTTCAAATCATCATTACTCAAACGTATCAAGATAAACTCTAGACAGTGAACAGGCAATCTTGGGTCTAGAAGATGTTGCAGCGAGAAAATGGCAGGCTTGAATAAATTCTCCCTTTTCAAAGCTTTCCTTATCTGCATTTTAAATACAGTCACCCATTTCTTATAGTTTCTGCGAAAGTAATTAGAGTCAGGATACTCTAAAATGGCTTGACGCTGGTGCAAAGGCATCAGAGGAAATTCCATCACCATTTCATCGGTCAAAATATCGAGTAGAGTGAATGACTTGGTAATGTTTTCCATTTTCATTTTTGACAACGTTACTGTGTCTTTGATGTCGAAACGTTCGCTATGGGCTTTGTTCAAAGGATCAACGTGTAATCCAGCATCACTCATTTTACAAATATGATCGTTTAATTCGTCAAATACAAAATCATCATCTTCGCAGTACCAAAATGCTGGTCTCCCACTCACGTCGCAAATATTTACATCAGCTCCAACCATCATCAGAGCTTTAACGTATTGCAATTTGTTGTTCTGTACCGCCAGATGAAGCGGCGTGTATCCTGTAAGTATTAATTACTCATTTAAGCGTTAATAAAAATTTTTATTTTAAATTGATTTTAATATTGTTAAATTTTAGTCGGGGATACTCCTACACTTTGGGGGGAGCAAAAAGTGTGATTATGTGAAAAATTACAGGTTGCACAAAAATCTATATTTTTGACGTAATTTACTCTCTTTAATTATTTACTGACTCGAGTTTGAGCAGGTCAATTCGGAATCTAAAAAATAATAATATAAATATTTACTTACCATTAATATCTTGTTGATCAAGCTCACAACCGCTTCCCAAAAGGATTTCAAGATTGTTAATAAATTTGTCAAATATCAAACAAAATGAATCCCCACACAAATGAAGATAATGGATTATATTGCGACCATCCATATGCACAGCGTTTATGTTCGGGATGTATTCAATTAAAGATTTGAGATTATCTCCAGTAAACATTAGCATCAAGGTTTTCACAAGAGATATTTTAGTGTCAAAGTTAATGCTCTGTGCTAAGTCATTTTTTAATAGAGCTAGAAAGTGTTTACGATACGTGTTTTTATTATTTAAAAGTAAATCCATCAGTGTCTGACCGAACGTGTTTTTCATTTCAAAGTCAGCTTTACAAAATCTAAAAAAAAATTTTTTTTTCAAAGTTTAAAAAATGTGTAACGGATATACTATTTGGAAAATTGTAATAAATCATAAACTAAATTATAATGACGAGTATCAGTTTTATCTGAACGAAATTTTATAGAAATTAATGATTGCGGACAACATTATGCTCTTCAAACATCTATAATATCTAGAACAAAATACTCTAAAAAAATTATACCTTAAAAATACTTCGAGTTTTTCAGGATGATATTTCGCGGCAAGATGCAAAGGAGTGAATCCATGCGAGTCCTCGAGAGTAATGTCAGCTCCGTGTTGCAGTAACACTTCAATTACATTTGTGGTTCCATATTTAACAGCAAAGTGCAATGGAGTAAAACCAGCATCACAATGTACAAAGTAATTATTGGGAGCATTGACGTTAACACCAAATTTTATAAACTTTTCCACGTTGTCAAAGTGTCTTCCCATGCAGCTATAGTGAAAAGCAAATAACAATAGTTTTGGGTTGATAGTACGATTATCCTTCTTTGACAAAGTTACTTTTCGACGTTTCGTTGAAGCTGAAAAATTAAAAAAAATTACTCAATTATTTTTTTTAATCCTTTTACATAAAAACGATTGTCGTATCTGGTGGGGCGCACGTCACACTTGTGATTGCACTGGTTGGATGCGCACCAGGTCGGGACAGCTGTATATTTTATTTTTCTTACTAAGGGCACGAAGTAAATGTCCAAATGTTAAGAAAAAATGCCAAAGGTAGGAAAAAGTAAAGTACTTTTTAGAAATAGTAAAAAAAAAATGTAGGTAATTACGTCATTTTTTCAATGCAACATTACCTTGTGACTCCCAATCAGTAGCTAATACTGAATCTTCAATGATTTTCAGGACGTGATTGACAATCACTCTAATGCTATCGGAATCATTCACATCATATTTCCTATACATATTGATCAAATCTGTAGGAGTACAACTAGGCCATATCGGCGAATCAGAATTAATCTGGTGGTTAATGTCTTTTCCATCTTTCAATAGTTTTTTCATTAATGGTATATCTCGAAGAGCGCAGGCAACATGCAACCTAGTTAGTCCTACGTCATCTGATGTTTTATTTTTATTAAACTTTTTTAGTAAATGCTTTATTATTTGATTTTGATCTTGATTACTAGTAATCAGGGAAAGATAAAATGGAGTCAAGCCGTTTGCATTTTTTACTTCTGCATTTGCACCATTACTCAAGAGAAACATGACATTTTTTTCATTACCACCTTTGACAGCAAAGTGAAGCGGTGTATCTCCTACACTGATGAAATGTACTTTAACAATTCACTGGTGATTGGTTCGTTTACATTTTTGGATGTCAACAAGCTTTTAATTATTGATGTGGTACCAGCGTAACAGGCTATGTGTAGATAAGACAATCCACCAGGAGCTATGAGATTTGATTTTTTTGCTTTGATATGTGGCAGCAATAAATTTCGATTATCATAGTAAGAGTTGAAACCAAAGAATGACCGATGTATCCATGTGAAACCATCAGCATCAACAATGTGAGGGTCAGCTTTGAACTCAAGGAGCAATTTAGCCAAATCTTTGGATAAAAAATCATGTACTGCATTCTGGAGAGAAGTACGGCCCAAATTTGAAGGTCCTTTCTGATCACGGTCATGATATGATTTCAAAAAGATTTTAAAATCATCTGGTAAAGGTGTGTCGGGATCCAATCCAGCGGATAAAAATTTTTTCACTACCACCTCATTTCTGTATGCACACGCTATATGAAAGAGTTTTATGTTTTGTTTGTCTATCTCGTGAGAATCATCGGCATAGGCTTCTAAAATAGCACTAACATGGCCTGTCTTTTTTATCTGAAAAGCAAGTTCAAGCGCAGTTAAACCATTGGCATCTTTCACCGTAATGTCAACACCTTGCCTCAGACATAAGTAAATATTTTTTGTGTCCAAGTTCTTTGATAAGACTACAGCTAAATGTAGTAAAGTATAGCCTGGCCATAAGAGCGAGTTGCATGGGATGGCAGTATTCACATTGACTTTGTTTAAATATTCACTTAATGTTTCAGTTGTTTGCAATGCTGGTAATGATTTAAGTAAAATAGCGTCGTATAGTCGAAAAGAATTTATGGTACTATCAGTTTTTAAAATATAGCTTATCCAAGTGAGCTTAAAATTCTTGAGACACAAGTCTAGTGGAGAAGTGCCATTGGCATTTTTAGCAAAAAGGTTACCTCCATTTATTAAAAGCAATATCACCATTTGCTTACTACAGTGAGCAGCAAAGTGTAATGCACTGTAACCAGCCCATACAGGTGAATCTAATCTAGTAGTGGCATTGACATCTACATTATCCATAAAATATTCCTCTATTTCATCAAAGGTGTCAGAATTGAAACGTCTTATACAGTGCATATGCAACGTTGTTAAGCCTATACGATCAAGAGGATTGAAATTGTTTGTACGGAGTTGCAATACAAAATCAAGTATAGAATAATTTTTTAATGCTTCGCTTTGAAATTGTACTTTTTGCGTTCTACCTAACTCACTGCCCCAATGCTTGTGATTAAGTAACTGTAATGGGCTCATTCCATCAGCATTTAAACAATTGTAATCTGCCCCATGTTCCAAAAGCAAGTGAACCATAGCCTTGTCCTTATTTCTGATTGCAATGTGTAAAGGTGAGTACCCAGGAAGAATATCCGAAGTTTTATGAATAGCTTCATTAACTGAAACTCCAGCTTTCAAATAAAATCTTGCAATCGCTGGACTTTTAGCAGCACAAGCTATGTGGAAATGAGATATTCCATTTTTACAATAGAGATTATCTGTATTGTTGGATTTATAATGAGCAAGTAGTAATCGGTTGATTAGAGGTATATAAAAAGAATGTTCTGATCGGCATTTCCTGGAAAACATCATTTTCTCAAAAACCAAGCGCAATGGAGAAAAGCTGTTCTGACTTTTAAGAGTAAAATCTGCTCCACGACTTAGTAATAAGTTTATTAAATAAATTATATATTCACAATTTCTATAATTGCTGTTAACCACAAAATGTAGAGCAGTGAAGCCAAATAAGGCCGACTCAGTTTTATTATACTGAAGACGATTGTTAACTGGTACAGCAAAATTGATATCAAAATCACTATTTATAATGCTTAAAATTTCTAGTTTGTTGCTCTTATACGTTTGTGTTAGTTCTCGTATTTGCGACAATTTCATTTGATTCTTGTCTACTACTGCTGAGGCTGACATGGTAAATCAATTAAATCAATCTTTTTTTAAACTAATCACTACAAGGAAACCTTTGATTTAAGTTAGAATTCAGTTTATTGTGATTTTCTACATCTGTAAAAAAAATTATCGTATTAATAATGTGAAACATCACTTAATTTTTAAGAACTAACAATAGGCTATTGTTAGGAAATAAATGTACGTGCCATGTGTGATTACGGTAAAATAAAATGAAGATTAAAAAGTCATTATTCATCTTTTTTAAAGCAATCAACTATGTTTTAGTTAATTTGTTAAGTAAATCACTGAAATTATCACTCATTAAATCATTCAACTTAATGAACAATAAATATTGTAGACCACATGTATGTGCGTACAACAGAATAGCAGATATATTTTTTAACACAGAAGTACATTAACATTAGATATGTTGCGTATTAATTTCTGATACTAATAATACAAACGTATACCTATTACTTTTATTTCTAGGTTATAATTGCACTTCGACGGGGTCGTTAACATCGGAGAAACTATCAAATTAATAAATTCAACTAAATTGCAATAGTATTAGTAATTTAATTTTAATGAAAACGAAATAATGATGATAAAAAAAGGAATGTAGATTGATCACTCAAATAACTCTCAGATAACTCGGATCACTATTTACTTAAGTATAGTGATCAGTGTGTGTGATCACCTGATCACTAGTGACAGTACTGACAGTTGACAGTACTGACACAGAGCGCTCCTCAGTTCCAAAATATTATTGTTCGTTCGTTCCAATCGTTTCAATTTGTATCGTATATTTAAACAATTGTCAATCCATTAAGTATAAAAATGGGTACTTATATATTATCTTTTTATGCTTCAAAAGTTTCTCTTATCCGTTAACTTCAAATGTAAAAAAAATAACATGAAATATTCAAAATAATCAAGAGTGCAAGTTAATACATAATTTTTTTTTTTTTTAACTTTTACCGTCTCGAGTATTTTTTATAATAATACCGAAATAAAAAGTTTTTTTTTAAAACCAATTTTAATTGATCAATTGGTTTATTGTCTAAATTTATTAATTATTTTTATCATAAAAAATCATACGATTGTGATGAAGATTCTCACTTAAGAATAACCCAAGTTAACTTATTAATATTAATTTATTAATTATAAGAGCGTACGCAGCTTTTTGTACTTGCAGTTCAAATACAGTTGAAACTTGAAACATATATTAATATTTGTCTAGTATACTGTAAACTAACAAAATAAGCTCACCAATATTTTTTATTCATGATTCATGTATTTATTAACAGAGCAACTGAGCACTATATTAAAATGTTACTCATGTATATACATATACATATATACATATAGTGAGTGTGAATTAGTGCACTGAAAAATATATGCTTATTTATTTCTGCTTCATTGTTTATATTCAAAGGAAGTTTGTTAATTGGTAAGTACACTAAACAGATAAAATTTACTTAATTTTCCTGTGTATTTAGGGTGAGACAAAACTTTTCTTAATTGATCATAACAAACGTTAATTAGTACATTTATAATTATATACATTTACTGTAACATATACCTCATAAATAGACAAAAGCTATTATACACTATTATACATAACACAAGTCTATATTATAAAAATTAAACGTTAAGTTAAACAAGTTTTAAATATAATGGTATTGTGACCAATGCGGTTCCAAGTTGAAACTTTAAAAACTATTATCAAAAAAACGACCATGTTCATTACATAAGTGAAAATTTACAATTGAGCAAAATTTACAGTAAAATGAATTTTGTCGGCAGTACTGGAAGTCAGCAAAGTGATACTAACTATGGTTAAAAAAATTCTAGAACCGAAACAAAATTATTGTATTGTCAACATTAGGTGGACAAATACTTTATGCTGCTAATAATTTTATTAACACAAAATTTTAATGAAAAGCAACAAATCTCGCAAATTTTAAATTGTTATAATTAAAATAATAAATATAAACTACTTTCTACTTCGTTAAAACTTAACTACATATAATAAAATCAATACTATTTTTGGCACGTATCACGTTATTCCACTCGTCATTATTCAACTGTATTAAAATAGTTTCTATGCAGTGCACAGGTAATCTTGAGTCTAGAAGATCTTGCAATGAAATTACGGCTGGCCCAAACAACTCCAATCTTTTTCGAGCTTTTCGTTCTTGCATTTTGAACACAGGAACCCACTTCCAAAACATTAGATGGAAAAAATCAGAGTTGATGTATTCTAAAATGGCTTGACGCTGGTTCAAAGGCATCAGAGGAAATCTCATTACCATTTCATCGGTCAAAACATCACGTAGAGTAATTGACTTGGTAATATTCATCTTTTCCATAATAAATAATAGAGTCCTCCACGTAGAAGATTCTCCTAATGAATTTTCCGGTGAATTGAGTGATTCACAACGTTTTTTGTTCAAAGGATCAAGATATAATCCAGCATCATTTATTTTACAAATATGCTCGTTTATATTATCAAACAAGCCATCTTCATAGCAGTACATGTATGCTGTGTTTCCACTCGCGTCACGGATGTTAACATCAACTCCAATACCTATCAATGCTTGAAGATATGGTAAATTGTTGGACAGTATCACACTGTGTAGTGGTGTTTGACCTGTGCAAATCAAACATAAGTTTTATTTAAGATTTTATTACAAATTTCTACTCAAACTATATACTTTAAAAAGAATGTATAATATCAGTTTCATCAACACAACAGGTTTGAACATAACTTTGCAGAAATTAAATTTGGGCATCAGATCAGTAAATGTCAGTATTTTAGATTACAGTAATTAAAAAAAAAAATTTATTAACTTACCATAATGGTTTTGCTGATCAATTTCACAACCTTTTTCAATAAGAAGTTTAATATTGTTAACAAACTGGCTAAAGTTCAAATCAAATTCAAAAGTACTAGAAGCAAGATGGTGAAAAATATTATCACCATTTTCATCTACATCGTTTACGTTTGGAATGTAGTTAATTAAAGATTCAAGACTTTTCCCACTATATTTTTTAAATAAGGTTTTCAAAAGACACATCTTCGTGGACAAACTAATGTTTTGTGATGCATTAGTTTGTAGTAAATTTAGAAAGTGTCTACGATGCGCATTTCTATTATTTGACAGTGAATTCATCAAAGTTTGGCCAAATGTATTTTTCATTTCCAAGTTCAATCGACATGTACTAAAATAATTAAAATAATAAAGTAACTATTAATAATGTAAAAAGGTTTAAAGTAAGTAATAAATGAAACATCTCTATTAGTGCACTGTAACATGTATGAATCAAAATAATTGATGACCTTGGTATCTGACCAATGGAGTCCAAATTGAGGTATTTACATAAAAATTTTTTTATGGATGCTTAAACCATACCTTAGGAGTATTTCAAGTTTATCTGGAAACTTTTCTGCAGCAAGATGCAGAGGAGTGTATCCTTGCGGATCCTCTAAAGTAACATCAGCTCCGTGTTGTACTAAAACCTCAATCACATTTTTGCTTCCATATTTAACAGCGAAATGTAATGGAGTATAGCCAGCATCACATACTGTAAAACAGTTCTTAGGTGCGTTAACATCAACACCTAATTTTATCAATTTTTCAACGACGTCATATTGTCTCCCCATACACTTATTGTGGAAAGCAAATAGTAATAGTTTTGTATCGAAAGTGTCCTTGGAGTCCTTTGATGAAGTTATCTTTCGACGTTTTGGTTGTGCTAGTTTTAATACAAATATTCAAATTAATACTTTTCTTACAATTAAATGAGCGTGTTGTCACACTGAGTTAAGTAGGGCATTTTAGTAATTGCTACAGAAAAATTTAAGTTTTTTTAAAATAGTTGTTCAAAGTATACGTGAAAACTACATTACCATGTAAAACCTGAACAGAAAACGTAGAGTTTTCAACCTTTGTGACAATATGACTGAGTAGAACATTGATGGCATTGACATTTTTTTCATAAAAATACTTATTACTAATGATATCTACAGGAGTATAACTAGGCCATATTGGGGAATCAGAATTAATCTGACTATCTATGTCTCCTCCATCTCTGAGCAACTTATCTATCCAAGCTGCGTCTTGCTGAGCACAGGCTACATGTAACGGGGTAAACCCTACTTCATCAACATTGCATTTTCTGCAAGACTTTTCGTATAGACGTTTTATAACTAGATTAGTTTTGAGTCTACACCTAGTGCTGGTCAAGGCAACATGCAGTGGAGTAAGGCTATCAGCGTTTTTTGCTCCTGCATTTGCACCATTACTCAAGAGAAACATGACATTTTTTTCATTACCACCTTTGACAGCAAAGTGAAGCGGTGTATCTCCTACACTGATGAAACCGAGGGGATGTTTAATGTACTTTAACAATTCACTGGTGATTGGTTCATTTACATTTTTGGATGTCAACAAGCTTTTAATTATTGATGTGGTACCAGCGTAACAGGCTATGTGTAGATAAGACAATCCACCAGGAGCTATGAGATTTGATTTTTTTGCTTTGATATGTGGCAGCAATAAATTTCGACTGTCATGGTAAGAGTTGAAACCAAAGAATGACCGATGTATCCATGTAAAACCATCAGCATCAACAATGTGAGGGTCAGCTTTGAACTCAAGGAGCAATTTAGCCAAATCTTTGGACCAAAAATCATAAACTGCATTCAGGAGAGGGGTATGGCCCAAGTTTAAAGGTCCTTTCTGATTACCGTCGTGATATGATTTCAAAAGGATTTTAAAATCATCTGGTAAAGGTGTGTCGGGATCCAATCCAGCGGATAAAAATTTTTTCACTACCACCTCATTTCTGTATGCACACGCTATATGAAAGAGTTTTATGTTTTGTTTGTCTATCTCGTGAGAATCATCGGCATAGGCTTCTAAAATAGCACTAACATGGCCTGTCTTTTTCATCTGAAAAGCAAGTTCAAGCGCAGTTAAACCATTGGCATCTTTCACCGTAATGTCAACACCTTCCTTCAAACATAAGTTGACTTTTTTTCTGTGAAAGTCATCTGATAAGACTACAGCTAAATGTAGTAAAGTATAGCCTGGCCATAAGAGCGAGTTGCACGGGATGGCAGTATTGACATTGACTTTGTTTAAATATTCACTCAACGAATCTGTTGTTTTCAAAGCACGCAAGAAGTCAATTAAAATGGTATTCCGAGATTGAACAGGATTTAAAGCACTGTAATTCTTTAAAATGCAGCTAATGCTAATAAGTTTACATTTGTTCTTGATGCAAAAATCAAGTGGGCTAATGCCGTTTGCATCTTTAGCCAAAAAATCCGCACCATTTTTCAGAAGCAGTATCATTTTCTTTCTGCAGTGAGTAGCAAAGTGCAGTGGACTGTAACCTGGCCATAAAGGTGAATCTTTGCTAACAGTTGCATTAATATTGTCATCTCTTTTTAAATACCCTTGTAGGTCTTCCAGTGTTTCTGCGTTATCATGTCTTATGCAATACATATGCAATTTTGTAAAGCCTATTTGATCAAGGGGATTGAAATCGTTGGTGCTTAGTTGTAACAGGAAACCTAATATATGACTATTTTTTAATGCTTCATTATCATAGCGTTCATTAATTTTTGTAAAGAAATCGTCATGACAATGTTCATCACTGAGCAAATGTAAAATACTCATACCATTGGCATTCAAACAGGTGTAATCTGTGCCATGTTCTAAAAGCAAGCGAATCATGTCTATGTCTTTGTTTCTGATGGCAATATGTAGTGGTGTGAATCCAGGGATGATTTTTGAAGTCTTGTGAATAGCTAGATTGACAGGAACTCCAGCTTCCAAGTAGAATTTAGCCATCTTGACATTTTTAGCAATGCATGCTATGTGAAAATGAGATATTCCATTTTTACAATGGGGATTGTTTGTATTGTTGGATTCATAATGAGCAAGTAGTAATCGGTTGATCATAGCTTCACATGCTGAATACTCGTACATGAAGTTATTTATTACAAATCTGTAAAAAAGTAAACACAAAGGAGTAAGTCCATCGTGATTTTTGTGAGTAAAGTCAGCGCCTTTGGTCAGAAGCAAGTCGAGAATTTTTACTCTATTTAGCCAAGGATTTTTAACAACAAAATGTAACGCAGAACATCCTAGCAAGTCAGGTTTTGTTTTTTCATAATTAACTGAATCGTCAACTGGTAATACGTAATTCACATTAAAACCGTTATTCAAAATAGCTTCAACTTTAGAAATACTAAGATCATTAGAGAATTCGCTTAGAGCAAATATTTGTGACAGATGTATTTGATTTTTGTCAATTGGTCTTATCGATGCCATGGTCCATCAACAAATGTTATACTTTATGAAAAAGTATGATGGAAATCCTTGCAAACATCTACCTACATGGATGAAAAATGAATAAAACAGGATTGTACGATTTTTAAAATGCTTAATTAATGTGTTTGTTTCATACCTATTGCTTCGTCTTCTGTAGGTTATAATGGTTTTTGCGCGTCACATTTTTTTTCCAGTGAACGTAACACTGCTGTTACAAAATTTGGAGACACATAAAGTGTGTCCAATTATTTCACATAAAAGAACGAAATAGAGCACAAAAAGTAATTTTATACATTTATATACTTTCTGGTATTAATAACAAGAGATATACATAAGATACCGTAAACCTTCAAATGTATTATTATTATCAGAGTAATCTGAGACATATTTAGGTTAGGTACCTCTTAAAATGCACTATGTACATACGTATGCGATAGCGTATAATTGCGATCGATACAACAGATAGTATTCTTATTGTAATCGATAATATCGGGATTTACCGGTACCTTGGTATGTGGTGTTTATTTTCATTGCTCAATCGATAATGCAATTTTTTTGCCATCTTGAAGTCATCTATAAGAAAAACCTTCAGACAACATGGCTGCACTGCTGCACATTATCTTCCGCATTTCGCGCAACAATTGTCGAGGCCGTAAGTAGGGTTGAGTACTATATAAAAACACTATATCCATCATTATTATAAAAAATAAAAATAAACTATACCTTTATTCGATGAACAATTATAAATTTAAGTCACTGATGAAATGACAAATTTTTATCTTAAAATTTCGAGTGCGACCAAATACGCCTAAAAGATCTAATTGATAGAAAATTTTTCGCTACACATGCTGCAATTTTTGTTTTCATTGTTTCTTTCACCGTCGACAAAACCGTGAAATGAACTTTACGATTCCTTTTTCTCAATGACGCTCATAGTTTACGGTCCTGAAAATTTGCATACAGTACAATTCGGGTATAATTTACATCATATCAAAAAAGCCTTCGTGGAACGAAACTTTTAAATTCAGAAGTAATTTGATCGGACTATACGATAAAATAACTAAACATCTATAGATGTATGTACACGCAAGATTACTACTTAATCACTACTCTGTATACGTGAAATGGGGGGAGTGTGATAACTGATAACAGCATTTTTGAGTGTCGGTACGTCGGTATAGCGTTTGCGGAGTGGATAATATACTATATATGTCTCCTTTGATTGACAAAGTCAATATACTTAAATGAACATGTCCAATGCAAGTACGTACCTACACCTTAAAAATAATTATGCAAATTCGTTTTCGTTCTTCGTTGCATCCTTGTGGATAGCCATTGTATATAGCTCATAGAATTAAGTATAACCTAATCTAACCAAATAGAACGAAAGCTACTGAGCTTTCGCAAGACCAAATCAAAGAAGACTCTTCTAACCTATAAAACGTAACGCTTTCCGTCAAGGTCCGTATAATCAAGGTCAGAGATGAAGATTGCTTTTGTTTAAGACAACATCTTTTGATCATGTCTTATAGTTTAGGAAGAGTATACGATATATATCTTTGGCGCCGTGTACGTTATAACGATACCGAATACTGTCGGGCCGTTAGCTAACTCCATGCGAGACAATGCTCTAAGAAACGCTCCGTACAAACATTATTTCGAAAAATAACGAAGTGTAAATAAAAATTGTAAGAAAAAACATGTCATTTGAAGCAACGACGGAACAGCCAACAGCCCACACGATCCACTTGAGGCAGGAGAGTTGATCGATAATTTTAACTGTTTTTTTTTCACTGTCCAGCAAAAGATGCCAAAGTGCCGGGCTTATTAAAAAATGAAAAACCTTTAATCTTTATATTATAGTTTATGCTTTTACATTCGATGTTCTAGAACTAATGTTCTGTTCTGTTCTTGAATCTATTTGGTATAGCATGTATGATGGCCCATCAAAACAGGTTGCTACTCCGTTATGTAAGGAATATTTTAATATCACTAAAGCCACTGAATGTCTCCAAGAAAGAAGAGTCAGTTTGGTTCAAAGGACACCTTATGGAAGTAAAAACAGTTATATTTCCTTAAATGTTTACACAGCCAAGGTTCAATCAACTGTAGTCCTTGTATTTTTCGAGCAGGTATTTATATATACCTCAATTAAAATGTTTCTTCATATCTAACACCCACTACAGCAGGCTAATTCTTTTTCATGTCTATTAGCATCTATCAAAAGTATTATTGTTTCAAGATCAGATACACTAGCATTAATAGTATTATTAGCTGAGGATCCTGAAAAGAGTTTGTTTAATCTACAATAGCCAAGGAAAAAAGTCAAATTCCAGCAGAATACCAGTGCCTGAGCTTTCCAATCCATTCAGTAGGTAAGGATTATAAGTGTTATTTAAATGATTCTTTTATTAATTTGCTAGATTTCTTTAGTTTTGAAACTATAATTTTAATTCAGTTTGAGCTTAACAAACTGTAAATATAAATGTGCACAAATTAACTTGTTATGACTTTAAAATGCCATTTAACAAAGTCTTGGATGTGGCTCAATACAAACATAATATTTCATAGCAAGTTAATTTTTGTCGACAAAGACACAGAGATCTCCCAAAAAGATAAATGCCCAAAACTAAGACTTCTTACCATGGGCCTAAAGTGCAACTGCCTCTTTGCGCCCTTGGAATCAATTTGGGCCCATGGGTAAAAAAGTTTTTTGCGTCCTCCGGACCCAAAGTGATTTACCGGGAGCAAAGTGTGCCCACGGGCACAAAATTTCACTTTGCGCCCTCGGTAAGAAAAACATTACACGGTACTCGGGCACCAACATACAACAATCGCGCCCTTCGGGCGCTCAAGTTTGTACTTTGTGCCCTAGTGACATAATGTACCATTTTTCCAGACAATAATAAAACAAGACATTTGAAGAGATCGTTTGGCGGTACTTCGACTTGTTTTCAGCCAGAACTCTGCTTTGGTGAGTAAAATTTAAAATGCTGTTTAAAATGCTTTTCCCAACTTATGAAAATGATTGCAATCATAAGTATTCCACTCGTGATAGATAAGTACATCCAAAGTGTAAGCTCCCTGAACTTCCGTTTACTTAAGTTTCGCGTTACGGCTTCCAAAGACGCAACCGCGAGAAGGTAAGTACTGCAACAAGCTCGTCCAATAGCTTTGATACAGATATATTTCCCTCCGGTCCCACGTGTAGAGTCCGATTCACGGGCGCTCGGAACTGTTTTTTTTTGTATCTTTTCTAATGGAAGGCTCCTTTTATTTATTAGCTACTTACGGGTGGTCTGCGCGACATGACGGAATCGATTACGCGGATTCGCAGAACCCAAGGAGGCTGCATCGACTTCTCTTCCCTCCCCCCGCCTCTCTCTCTCTCTCCGGCTTGTTTCTATACCAAGTGACGCGTGTGCCCCTTTGCCTTTTCGGAGGGAGCTCCGAATATCCGCGTCTTTTTCTCTTTTGCTCCCAGCTCGTCCTCCCGAACGAGGTATATACCCAGCCATAAGGTATCCCGTTTTCTCTCTGCTCGCGTCGTCTATACTGCAACGGGTACGCATAATGCATGTTCTCGTGGAGAGGAAAAAATGAGGAACGAGAGCTCGAGGGCAAAAAGTTTTGCGCCCGTTTCAAGTAGATGTATAGGTAGGTACAACACACGCACACCGAGCCACGCGGAAAGAGATGATAAGCAGGCGAGTTTCGCCGAATGCCGGGGCTCTTTGCAGTTGTGTCTTCTTGTCTCTGTGAATTCTGAATAATTAGGTGAGCTTCGATGATAACAACTTGTGAACTAGTGTGAGCTTTTTTCTCTAGGTCAAATTCAACCAAAGCTCCCGCGAAAGTGTATCTATAATCATCTCTCATGGTAAGTCAAGCGGTGATGTTTCACACGTTAATATTTGAGTCCTTTAACAAATATAATATCTCAGTATTTTGTACTATAATGGTTAGAGTTAAAAGGATGTATAATTTTTTTTTTCCTCATTATTGATCAATATTCAATACAAAATCGTGAGGGTAATTTTAATTAAATAGTATCAAACGAAGCAATTTACGTTTTATTGGGAGAGAAAAGTAGCTTCTATATTTACATGAGCAGACAAGTCTCTAGTCTAAATTGAGACATATAACACGAGCGAGGGATCGGCCGGTCGAAAGGAGGACTTGTTTTTTCTCGCTCGAGAAATGCAAAAAATCCTTAAAAAGTTTCAGGTCGTAACTCACGCGGCCTGAAAAAAAAGGTTTAAATCACAGCCGGGCGGACCCTTCAAACAATACACAAATACTTGCCCGGCCGTGCTCTTAAGAGCGACAAAACTTTTTGTTCTTCGCGTCAGTTGGGGGTTCTAACTCGAGTAAAAACCGACTACTAAAAATGCAAAGAACGAATCGAAGGAATCTTTTTTTTTTTTTTCAGAGCCCAAACCACATTGATAGATGCTCTTGAGGTATACTTGATGCGGAATTGTTTATCTGTGACTACTTTATGATTTAATTCGTTAACTTGGGACTTTTAACTGTCGGAGCGATCGTGTGGTGTAAAAAAGTAATATTCCACGGATAAACAAGTTGTTATTTTTCATCATATACCTTGAGCCACTCTAGAGATTATAATTGACACGTACTCTGAGTAATGGAGCTATGCAAATCGCAATTTAATGAGCACTGGTTGCCAAACGCTATTTTTTATCAAAATTCGTGTCGTTCGGAATTTCCGTATACATTAACTTGTCAGTTTTTACTTACTGTCACTTTTCGTCATGTGTGTAATTGAGATCAATTTGCATATGCAAAATATTTTTTTTTAACAAAAAAAAAAGGCATTCTGTAGAGACAGATATCATTTCGTGAGAAAAGATACCAATACGTCCAAGCGAAAATCTTTAATTTACAAAATAAAATGTAGGACAACTTCATTTTTAATTTGCGCATAATACCTAGTTACGCACGAGTCAGCAAAACGATACGTAGATTAATTTTAATCGCAGATGATGACAAGCAAATAAATACAAAATATTTGTTTTTACTTAATACCTTTTAACATTAATTGGATTTTTTTGAATAAAATATTGGGATGAAATTTGGAAAGAGTTATAGCAATATTTAGACGTTTGTTTGGGTTGAAAACACCTAAGTTCAAGGAATTACTCGAATAACTCGACAAACGCAGAAAACAAATTTATTAAAAACAATGATTGAACTTACAATATTGAGCAACTAAACAAAAATTTACATATGCATAGTACATATTCCCACAAAAACACGTAGCATCGTATAATCATAACTTCTTCATTAAATTTCGAAACTCAATATTAAAACGATATAAAAAAAAAATCACTTTGACAAATTTTCAATATACGCTCAACCTTCGTAAGGCTCAGCGTAAAGTTCGATGATGTACTCGACGCCTTGGTTAATTTTACTGTGAAAGCCCAGTAGCACGCGCGTCATACCTGGGCCCCCGTACTCGTAGGTGACAATGCCCCCGGTACCGTTGGTCTGATCCAGAGCTCGGACTTGCGTTATGGTGTACTCGTTGGCGACGTCGAAGGGCCGAAAGGCAATTATACGCTTTGACGGGTTCGCCTCGCGGAAGAAGTGGCTGCAATTTACGAGGCTGTCGCCTTGCTTCCTGTTGCCCACGACAATGTCGTTGGGGCTGCTTTTCGCCGTGACCCGTCGAATTTCACACTTTCCCTGCGACGGACGAAAACTGACAACGCAAACTGTCAATAGCGACAGGATGAGTAGAAAAGGTAATTTTAACGGAATCATTGTGGTCGGGCGATCAGCGGTACAGTGATGTGCTGTTGACGTACTGAAAGTGAAGACTGGCACGGACGTTTTTTTATTCAACGATAAAATCAAATGACAGCTGTTTTATCTTTATGTCTGTGACCCCTTTAGTAAAAAAGATAATTCAATTGATAAACGCAAAGATTTTACAGATTGCCTCTATCTTTTCTCACCAACACTTAGTTTTTATTGTTACAAATGTTTTACCATGTATTTTATTGTTTTGTTTGTTTGACTAAATTTTTTTATTTTATCCCCTTATAAGTTGTGAATATTTTGACGCTCGTTCGAAGCTGCAAAATTGCACGAAAATAGAAAGATGATACATATTTTTCAAGGTTTTGTAGCTCGGTCCACAAAAACTGCAGGAGGGTAAGATATTTTACGAGAAGTCACACAATGTTGTACTGTTGAACAAAAAAAAAAATACGAATAAATTTTCTGATTCTCTTCATTAAGAAAAAACTTAGTACCATTACATTATATTTAATAGAGTTGTTTCTTTAATTTATTTATTTGATCCAAGTATGGGGAAATATTCCATTTCAACTAATATTTTTTAAAAGTTCTTGTATTTTGTGGGATGATTATTTTATTTAAAAAAAATTTGTGTGCTTGTGTTACAATAGCAATTAATTACTTAAGTTATTTAGACTAAAAACTTGAAATTACAAAACATATTTTAACAAGTATTTATTAAAACCACAATACTTATCAGCAACATAAAGGCCGCATTTTTAATTGTATTTAAAGATAAAAAAATGTTATAAACAAATATATACGAAAAAACATCGAATTTCAAAGTTTTTTCAAAACATATACCCCGAAATTTCTTGTTTACAAACCGTTTGTGGGTGAAATGCCTTTTCCGACCCCTTCACTAGTTGCGNATATATATATATATATCATGCAGGACTTTTTAAAGATTATACCCAAGTTACATGGCATCTGTACTTCATTTACACCTCAACAAGGCAAATCTAAATATTTAAAAACGATTCAGTTCAATTTTTACCGCAAAATAATTTTAATAAAAATTGAACAACGAAAAATAATGTTTTGCAATTTCGTGTTGAAAGAGGCAGTGACGAAGAACGAGCGTGCGTTAAAAAATCTGGCAAGGGGAAAAGAAACAAATGAAAAAAAAAAAAAAAAAAGTAGAAAACATCGAAACACAAGCCGGTTCGGTTTACCATGCCAGACCATGCACACATACACAGTATTCAAACGCTGAATCGCGTGACTTGAAGCTCGAAGGGTTCCTCATAGCTGCCCGTGTTTTGCACGCCCATAGACGATTCTATTTTTACTAAAGGCCTACTGTAGCCCCAAAAACACGTATAAGAATCACACGGAGAGATAGAGAACAGTGCAGGACAGAGTCGATAGAGGAAAGTAAAAGTTCATCGCATGCGTCAAGTGTGACGTCAACGGGGAAAGAGCTGAAAAAGTGTTGAAAAAAATATCAAATTCCCCGTTCCTTTCGTACCTCCAAAATACGAGAGGAGCTAGTGAAAAAAAAAAAAGAAAAAAAAAATCTGAACAAGAAACACGCGGGTGCGACGAATGCAAGGCTCGCGGCTGATCTCACAGGGGCCGAAGAAAGAAATAACAATTTCTGAGCAAACGCACAAACAGCTTAGCACACGCGCGGTGCAAACGATTGGCAGAGGAGGCGGAGTACTATACGTCTCGCGATGTTCCCTGCGCAAAGCAAGTTTTGCGTTTAACTGGCCAAAGTCACACTATAAGGTACATACATACACTTGGACAAAAAAAGTAGAGGTTCTTCAAAGTGATTGGCGTCTCGATGCTAATCAAGCCTCCCTATCATCTATCTATACGCGTCAATATTTTTCAGCCTCTCCCTGTCTATCGTACGCAATAAAAATGGTAAAGGTGTGGCCTTTTTTTTTTTTTTCTCACGAATCACCCGTGCGAGCGACCCTTCGATCCGCAAATCATGATGTTATGATGACGCGGTCGGACTCGACTCTCCCGCTTCACTATACTTACTATACCTTCTGCTTTGTTTTTTCTCTTCTTCCGGGGGTTTCCCCAACTTTCTCAATGCTTTTTTTTTACCCCTCTCCCGATACCCACTCAATTTCTTAGTCCTAATGGTGCAGTGCTCTCGATACGCCGGGGTTATTCCGATTGCGTTACGACTAGGATACGAGGCATCCTCATTTCGCGTGTAATAATCGCCAATTTCGTCCCCCCCCCCTCTCTCCCCGCGAAAAAAAAACAACACAAGAATCGCTTCTTACCCTTTCGATGTTCACCTCGCGCGTACCGGGGCGTCGAGGTTACATTGCCGGATCGCATGCGAGCAGGTCGTAACGCCATCTTCCCCGGCTGTCCAAGACATCATTTGGCACTGCAATTCAATTACAATGTAAGCACGTGAGCTCGGTTATGTGCTTGCGTTATTGCCGGAATCGGCTTTATACACAACATTAAACATACCTACTCGCGGAATGGCCCCCTCGTTGTCCGTGTATCCAGGCGACATGTAATTTTCTTCTTATTTGCTTGCTGTGTGGGATGCACAGCCATCTGCGGGGAGTATATCGGCTATTGCAATTATTCCTCGGAGAAATCGGCTTTATTGGACTTGTATATACGTGCACGCGGTCGAGAGAACAGCTGTTCTACGCGCTTGCGTTCTCTGTGCGTGTACACGACGGTCGGGAGTGGAGGAAGCCGTTGAAAGAGTCGCCGGAGAAACTGCTTATTTGGAAGATTCCCTTGGCAGGCCGATTTTTTGTCTCGGGATGATCGAAGCGCTGCGAAACAAGGTTGAATCGATGGGTAATAAAAATTGAGTGTCCGACCGGCGGTGGTGTACGGCACGAAGGCGTCTTTCGTTGGCTCGTGTGACTTGGAACGGATATCTATGGTTTACGGGAATTAACAAAATTACCAAGTAATATAATTTATTTTGTAATAAAACATGCTATGGTTTCGTTCATTTTTTGTTTTCTTTTTGTTGTATTGGGAAATGTTTGCTAGAGTTTCATCAATTCTATACTGTAAATTGACCATTAAATTTATTTAAGTTGCATTTTGATGACTGTGTGTCTTAGTCAACAATATAATTGAGTCATTGTACCTTACAACTGATTCGGCACTCCATACCTTTGTCTTTTTAACAAAGCGTGTACGTCAGTCAGTGTGTGTGTAAATTATTTTGTTAGTGATGCATTTATTCAATAACATATTTATATATGTTCGAAAATACGTTTTGTCATTTTAATAAGTTCACGCCTATACATCTACATCACAAAAAGGGAGCTATGTTTTATAAAAAATATTGATACATACAAAACTTTTTTTATTTATTGTCTATTTTTTATCTGTTCATGAAACATTAGTTTGCTTGTAAAAGTATAAAAGGTTTCATTGGAATACTTGGGAAATTAGGTAACAAGTGTCTATCCATTTAATCTTATCCGATCTTACGTACAAGGTGTACTGAAAAGACACAATTATTAGAAACTTCAACTGAATAATCATGTAAATGAGTATGGTTTTTTGATGCTTTCCAGATTTTTTAATTGTACAAAATATGAAACATGCACTTATGTATCTCATGACAATACTAATGGGAATTTTGTTGATTACCATACTGTTTATGCCAATCCACATGGGTGATTGTAATTGACTCTATTTTTCGGTCTTTAATTAAAATTCTTTTTTTCCGTTTACGTGAGACATTTTTTTGTATGTAATCATTGGGGTAATCTAACGTTTGGTCCTTTGCCTGATTTGATATATTCTCGAGACTTTAAATAAATTTCAAACCCAATTTTGTTATTTTCTTCATACCTCACGAAAATCTATTGCGTCGAAAAATTAAATTGACCCACGCGAGAGCGATGTATTTGTACAAATAAAATTGAACGAAATTAAAAGACGCGTGTTAATTATCGCAATGGTATACGTTAAAAGTGATGATTTTATTGAAACTTACAATCAGGCGTATTAATGTCAGGATATTGGATTTCTACGGTCTATTGAGACGTAATCCTTGCAGATAGAGAGGAGGGAAAGGGGGGCAGCGGGCAGGTACAACGTAACTCAAGTCGTCACTAAAAACCGACCAAGATATTGAATTGCCCGAGAGACAGCTAAGCGCACGCGAAAAAAAAAAGACTAAGAGAGAGAGAGCGAGTCAATCTCGAAACACGTCTGGGATGGGATGGTCATGGCTGGAAAAGAGGTGTGAAGCAAAACGAAAAGACCGACTGTTCCCCTGCATCCTTTTTTCTTTTTTTTTTTTTGTATGGAATCGAAAATAAAATAAAAATGTTGCACACGACACAGGGATTCCTTAATCAGGTATCCCTCCGGCATTGGACACTGCACTAAGGATACCTTTGCATCGCTCTCGTCGAAGACTCACAAGTGCAAAGTGCACGAGCGACCGCAGAAGCTCTCGGATTCGTGCGTGTACGCGACTCCTTGTCTGCTTGGTCTTACACGTGTTTTGACACCTTGAAAAAAACCACAAATCGCCCGTAAGGACCACATTTTCGTCCTCTACGTCGCATCGCTTGTAATGATCTATACCGCAAAACGAACATTTGGACGTAACACCATGATTTACGTCTCTTTTTTAGTATCTTCAACTTTACAGCGTCTCTAATGCTGTATATGTGCGACTTTGATCAAACAAAAATAATATTAATTTCGCGCTTTCGCGTGCATCACTTGATCTTCAGGCAATTGGGCTTGCATGCAGATGACCGATAAAAAGCTTATATACTTGCCGCGCGTGTTCTTTTTTTTTTTTTTTTTTTTTTGATAAATCACTTGTAGGGATTCCGTTTCATTGACAGAAAGAGACTTTCATTAGCAAAAATTTTATTTTCTACGATCATTTTGTTTCTATAGCTAGGAAAAAACTCAATACATTGGAAGAACGATTGAAATAAAAGTCAACGAAGAATGAAAATATAGTGTACAATAGAAAA